GGTGAAGAAGGGGGAGGATGAGGAAGAGGTGCATCAGGCACTAGGTCAGAGATTCCCCTGCAGTCTGTAGGGAAGACCATGGTGAGGCAGACTGTCCCCCTGCAGCCCATGGAGGTCCACAGGGAGCAGATATCCACTTGCAGCCTGTGGAGAACTCCACACCAGAGGTGGATGCCCAACAGAAGCTGTGACGCCATGGGAAGCAGGCTCCTGGCAGGACCTGTGGAGGCAGGAGCCTGCGCTGTAGCAGGGACCCAGCCCACTGGAGCAGTCTGTTGCTGAAGGACTGGACCTGTGGGAAGGATTCACATCGGAGAAATTCATGGAGGACTGTCTCCTGTGGGAAGAACTTCAGGCTGGAGCAGGAGCAGAGTGCGAGGAGGAAAGAGTGGCAGAGACAATGTGTGATTAACTGACCACAGCCCCCCCTCCCTGTCTCCCTGCATTGCTGGTGGGGAGATGGTAGAGAATTTGAGAGTGAAGTTAAGCCCAGAATGGAGGGTGGGATGAGGGAAAGGTGTTTTTAAGATTTGATTTTATTTCTCTTTACTCCACTCTGATTTGCCTGGTAATAAATTAATTTCCCCAATTTCAGTCTGCTTTACCCATGACAGTAATCAGTGAGTGTCTCTCCTTGTCCTTATCTCAACCCACAAGCCTTTTGCTGTATTTTCTCTCCCCTGTCCAGCTGAGGGGGGGAATGACAGAATGGCTTTGGTGAGCACCTGGCATCCAGCCAAGGTGAACCCACCACACCACACATCTGAGCTACTAGGTCAGGCTACCACACCTGAAACTGGGTTAAATATACTAGTTAAAATATTTAGGCTTTACACTGAAAGTACAGGAAAACAGTATTTCAGCTACTTTGTAGTCTGGATTCGTGACCATGGTCACCCTCAATAGCAAACTTCTCATCCTGTCATCAAAGACAGGATGTGGCAAGAGAGGAAATAAAGAAAAAGAATACTCCAAGATACAGGCAAAAAAATCACTAAACACAATCCACACGAGTAATACAGAATTCCTGAATAGTAAGTAGGCAGTGGGTTCACATTTTTTTTCTCAATGACACTATTGTTTCTCAGGTTCCTTCTACTGTACTCAAGCACAGATTAACATCAAGCCAGAAAAGTATTTAGCCTTTGGCATTTTGGAAGGAATTTTGGTCAAAATAAAACATTCTACATATAAACTTGTGTGGAAACCAATACATCAATAGAAAGAATAAATAAATTACAGGTTATATCATAAAGACAGGTGATAACTCTAGAAATAAGAAGAAAGATAATTCTATAAGGAAACCTGCAGCTTCCAGATGCCTGTGCATGTTCTAGATTTCCTGAATCCCATAGCAAATTTAAGTCTTTAGGAACTCTCAGCACAAACTACTGCTCTTTCATCACCTTATCCTTTGTCTCCCTGTCCTGTACCTGGGAGAATGAAGCCAAAGTCTGGGCATGCCAAAGCAGCTCTGAAGATCTCATGATCCTACCCTTGCACAAAATCCTTCATATAAACAGGGTCTTCATCTCCTGGCTTCTTCTTTTTTTATCCAGAACCTTTCTGATTTGTGGTATTCTTTTCCTGAAAACCAATTTTTATGCTACAATACATTCACATATTGTTAGAACAGAGGAGCACCTCAGAGAAGAACAATCTGCTCAGGTCTCATGGAAAATACACAAGATGAGTGCAACCAGGAATTCAACCTGAGTTAAAGACAGTTTTGCAGTCTTATGTGAGTTTTCTTTCCTCAACTGCTGTACTCATACTCTATCAATCAGGATGCTGGATTACTCAAGCTTTCCTTGTGTCACCAATTTCACATCATCTTTTTGTGGATTTACCCATAGGCTTCCTTGTGACAGAGGATGAAATTCATCTCACTTGATGTTAGATATCTATTGATTATTGATATCTACACATAACCAGTCACTCATGGTTTCCTTCGTAAGATACTCTCTTAATGGAGAGAAATAGATGGTTTTAGGGTGCAATTCGCTTGGTCTGTTTTCTGTACTCACATTAGGAAAGGATGAACTGCGCCACACAAGACCTAACCTCAATTTAGGTAGATGAATCCCACTGGGATTCCTCACTGATTCCTCACTGGGCCTTGCAGTCCGGCTGAACTTGCCTCCTGCAAGTCTGGAGCTGACTGCAATGGGAATTCCTCATTAAAGACATTCACTTCAAAAGCTCCAAATTTGATGGCACTTTGCTTCTCACTTCTCCCAGAACACGTGCTAGCTGAAGCATGTACTATACACAACTTGCACAGAAAGGCCCTAAAATCATACACTGCTTTAGTATGGCAGATGCCTGTGTCAACTCAGTGAGATCTTTCCACAGCCTTAAATAAACATTATTTGTGGATGCATTTTTATACTTTTAAGTCAGATGCTGCCTTACTGCAGTTTTATTCATTTCTGTCAGAGATAATGAACAAGCACTTCTATTTCCTTTGTAAAATCATTCTTCCATCCCATCCCTCATTTAACACATCTGAGAAACTACTTTGGTGATCATGAAGGAGTATCATCATTTGGTTAGTGAGACTCCATTAAACTTTCTAACTAAACAAGCATACTTTTTCCAGAGTTCATATCATGTAGGAACTGAGATAAAAGCTTAAGTTATCTATAGTTTAGATAAATACAATGCTGACTGACAGATTAAACCACTGCCAGGGTGACCACTTAAGCAAAGACAGCTTTTTCTCCAGAATTATTTCATCAGCTCCTAGTCTGGGCTAACTATAAAGGCAGTCATAGAATATATTCGCCTCCCCATTAAGATTGGCATCTTGGCAAGTTCAGATGACCTCTCTATCCTAATTTCTCTGCCTTGAACTTAAAAGAAGGTGAGGGTGATTGGTTTGAACTCAGACAGACACTGCTCTTCTAAATGTCTAAAGTGAAGTGAGGTGAATGTCACTAAATGGCTGTGGTAGGAGAGGACCTCCATAGAATAGATTTGTTCCAGTTTAAGTAAGGTGAAATGGAATACAAACAGATTTAATATCCTAGTTTTGGCACATGTGGAGTTTTACAGATGTTGTGCAAAACCTGTTAGGAGCCCAAAGCCCAGTGAACGTGCAGGCTGTCTTTGTGGCCCATGATTTGGGACATGATCAGGAAGGTGTGAGCGTAAGACTTCATCTGCAGTGTGGAAGGGTAGGACAGAAGCTCTCATCTCAACAATTCACCTACGCAACAAATTGTCCCATTCACAGGGGGGAAAATATGAAGAAGGAAATCCAGGTCTAGTTCTGTACCACATTAAAAGAAAAAATCTGAAAGATAGAACAAACACTGTATTTGAAGTCATATCAGAAATTATAGAATCATAGAATAGTTTGGGCTGGAATCTTACATTAATCTTTCCAGAGCCTGTTCCAGAAGACACTCTTCTCTCACAATTTTTATTCAAAATCCTAATGCTACTACTTATCCCAATGCAAAATATAAAATGGAACAAAAGATACTCATCCTTCATGTCATGTGGGCTAAACCCCAAGAACATTGTCGGGCAAAGTAATGAATGCTCCCTTGCTTAAAGCAAGAGGATGTATGTACATTCCAACAAAAAGTATAATGTTTCCCCTGAGGTTCACTGAGGAATAAAGATAGCATTGATAACCATAGTAGGACTGGAGGTTAAGGTTTCTCTTAACTGTCCCAGATTTGCCTTGTTAACTGTACCATATATTCTATAGATTTACGTTACTATGAAATATGAGCTCTATATTCCTACAAAAGCACAAAGTAGGAACTCTGGAATATATCGCTAGGAAAGAAAAAAGAAAAATAAAAAATTAAACCAAAACTCCCAAGAAACTGGACCAGAAAAAGCCTCATTACATGAGGTTTTGTCAGCTGAAAATTTTTGTTTTAATTTCCAGAAAGTTGAAACCCACAATTCTACTTCTTCTACAGGACCAGAGACCAGATAGACAATAACTAAGATTTGTTATCAAAAATATACAAAAATAAAAAGCACTAAATGCGAGTCCTGACTCATGTTCCTAAACCCCTTGCCTCTATCATACTGTGTAACTAAATGAGATTTACCAGATGTCTGTAAACAGTGAGGGAGACAAAGTCAGAAATATTTTAGTCAAGAGACAGAAACAAATATCTTCTATCAAACAAACCTAATTTTCAACCCAAAGAGATGGAAATTTTACTACATGTGAGCACAATTTTTTCACTGCTGAGAGTGTTATCTAAGATAGTAGCAAATATCAAGTGCAGAAATTGCAATCAGGGACAAGGAGGGGATTTTTAAATCAGGTACACGTGCAGTTAAGGGACATGGAGGAAGAGGAGGATCATCTCATATGAGGAACACCTGAACCTGCTAAAACCCTCAGGAACCCTACAAAAAACCACCAGGCACAGCAAATTCCTCCCATCACTATCAAAAATACCAAATATAGGTGTTTCAAAGTAAAGCTCTAAGCTTCTTTATTAATTGTCATGTTCTGTGATTGCAAGTTGTTGCAGCCTGCAGCTGAGCTAGGGTGTGGGGTACACCTCTCTCTGAGCTGCTCCTTCTGCCACAGTTTTCATTCACTTAAAACAGAAGCCAAAGATGGTCATGGAAAAAGCACATGAACCAAATCCACCAGATTTCGAATATTTGCATGCAGCTGAAGAAACATTGTAAAATGTAATTTCTTCTCTGAGTCCCTGTGAGGTATCAACTTCAGTATTTGATAGACATTTTAAAAAGTGTATGTAACCATATCTGTAGGGGCATAGAAGTTTCCCAGTTGCAGAGAAGGAACTTTGTAACTAAAACATAAAGTCTTAGAAAGACATGAAAGTAGTCTGGATTTGCATCCTAGCAGGGGGTTCATCTTGAGGGAAGAAGCTGATAGAAAAATAAACAGAAATGTTTGATGGCAGAATAAATCTAGAAAGCGGTAAAAAAAAAGATTATGTAAAGAAGATACAGCTGAATGAAAAATGTCTAAATATTGTGTGACAAGCAATAAAGCAGCAACTCTTGCAGTTATTTTTGCAGAACCTGCCAAATCACGTCAGAAATCTGCATCAGGCCTGCAAAATCAAACAGAAAGAAGTTTAAAAATACCAGAATTAAGTTTATCTCTTCATTTTATCCTCTTCTTCCACATAAGACCCTAGGCCTTACCCAGTGTTGAAGCAGCATCCAAGGCTTTGTGAGCTGCAGTGCTGGGACACAGAATCACAGAATATGCTGAGTTGGAAGGGACCCACAAGGATCAAGTCCAATCCTTACCCTTGCACAGGACCATCCCCAAGAGCCACACCACATGCCTGAGAGTATCATCCAAACACTTCTTGAACTCTGTCAGGCTTAGTGCTGTGGTCACTTCCTGGGGGAGCCAACCACCAATCCAAATCCCTTACCAAACAAAACTGAGATTTCTTCTCAGTATCAGTGCTATCATTTAGTATTTTGGTGTACCACAAAATTTCTGTTTAACATCACAAAACCTCTGAGAAGGGAATTGCTGTTACAGGTAATATTATCCTTAGCTTAAAAATAGAAATTTCAGACACTACCACAGCACATACTTGTCATATATTCATGTGCCTGGGTACTCCTGCTAAAACTCAGACGCTTTGAGAGTGACCCACACCCTTTCCTGGCCCTCAAAAAATCCAGTGGTAGAGAGGACCAAATCTCCAGAACAGCACTGAGTGGGTAAGGCCAGACCACTGCATAAGAGGAGTCTCAGGGCCATGTCCTGGCCCCCCAGCTGAGCAGCACCAGCTGGCTGGTGTCTGCACTGTGTGGGGCTGTTCCCTCCATAGCAAACGTACCTTGTCTCTCAGGGTGCCAGTGAACAAGCCAAGTAGATAGTCAGAGGTCTGATATCCAAGTTTGCTCCATGACTTTCTTTTATTCAGCAGTATGAAAAAGGCCAGAAAGTAAACAGTCATTCTTTCTTTTGCCCCTCTGATCACACTTGCAGGAAATTAATCACACCTGCAGGAAATTAATACCTCCCTAACTCATTCCCAAAGAACTATTAATGTCTTTTATGAATAATTAAAAGCTTTTTGCAAAAAATATGTATTTATTTTTTATATCAAACATGCAAAAGTACATATGAGAAGTCAAAAGCGACCATTTTAACGTTTCCTTCTGTCCTTGAGTACTCAAGCGTGCAGTCTTGATGTTCGTTCGAAAGCTTAAAAAAACCTTTACGAAAAATAGTAATATAAGCAGTTATACTATCCCTTATCTGTCTTATTAGTAGGATCTAAGTAACACTACCACTACTCCTGTTTGTACTAATAGGATATTCATCTGTAGTGAGTGCTCCTTCTATCAGACAAGTAATTCAACATCAAGGCTTGATGTGAGGCTGTGATTAGAAAATGACCAGTGATACTTTTTTGTGAATAGATGAAAAACGTTGAGCAGAGAAGTAAGGAGCTGCTTTACTGGTGCATTTTGCACTGGTGACATCAATACGGAAAGTCCTTTTTCTGTATATTGTTCTGGTATCAATATATTAAAAAGGCTACAAAAAACTTACCTGAAAACAGGAGAAAATGTCTTAAAATGAAAGTCTCAAAGAGTTTGATTTCTTCAGTTTATCAAAACAAAATTGGGTGCTGACTTGACAGTTTCGTGATGACCAAATGTCATGTACCATGAAGACCTCTGATCTAAGAGAGAGAAGGTTTAACAGAGGGTAGGTCCAAATAAAAGGAATATATTTTAAACAATCACAACAAATTACCAAGGACAATTAATAAACTTTCTACCTCTTCATGGCTTCGAATCAAAACCGGGTGCCCTCCTTAAAAATACGCTTCAGAAAAATCCAAGCGATTTTTCCCAATTTATAAGTAAATAAAGGATCAGTAGGAAATACATGAATGGTAAAGACTAGGTGACATTAATTACCACAGTTCCTGCACTCGAAGGTATTCCTTTGCCTTTATGGGAAGTAAAATAGTTTCAGCCATCTGTTGACAGCAGAGTCGTGACGTCCGGCAATTTTGACCTGCGCTCCAGATTTTGACAAAAAGTAATCCCTAATCCTTCTGTCTCTGTCGCCCTCCCAGTACTCTTGAGAGATTCCCTCGCTCCCTGCCCCTATCCTCCCAGTCATCCCGCTTCTCATCGCACACTTTCACTTTCGCTTCTCTCTTCCCTCCCGTCGTCGACAGTGGAGATGGCAAGGGGCAGAGAAGGGACCGGAAAAGAAGCTTGCTGCTTTGTTTTACCATCCTTGATAAAAAAGGTAAACTTAAAAGAGCTAAAACGGGAAGCTGGAAAGCAGGTAGCGGTTCGTCACGAGCGACACGCTCGGTATCGGCTCAACAAAGGATTCCGCAGCTCTCCACGAGCCCTGGGAGCAGGGGCCGCTGGGCTGCTACAGCAGCAGCATCCGCTCGCCACCTCCCGATCATGGAGAGAAAAAAAACAGAGGCTCTTCTGCCGAAACCCGGGATCGAACCAGGGACCTTTAGATCTTCAGTCTAACGCTCTCCCAACTGAGCTATTTCGGCTGCCGTGGCTCCCGCTGTGGCGTGATAGGACTAATTTGTTCTTTCTCACCCGTCACCTGGCTGAGGTTATTACACTTGGAGATTTAAATAAAACATGTTATTCACTCTACAGTGCTGGATAGCACAAACGAATCAATGAAGAGTCTTTGCCGTAAGCCAAATTAAAATGCAGCAGTAACACAAAACTACCCGTATACATCTATGCACCACACATAACCTACACGTGTTTACTATCACAACAATGGTGTTTTGGCTTTGGTTCCCTGGATCATTTGGGAGAGTAACAGAAACTACAACATTCTGTGGGATTTAGGAGCGTTAAATTAGCAGTATTTTAGCTTCAGTTTTCAGGGACTTTATTTTGAAGCCTGACAAATTCTGTGCAGAAATGACGTATCACAAAGAGACTGGAATACAAGGGGTACTTGAACCCCCATTTTTCCATGGTCTTGCTGGGAGTTGCATGTTCCACAGGAAAAACTCCATGTGTCTGCATAAATCACAAATCCTAAGCACAGTTATAAGAAAAAAAATAGTTTATGCTCACATTGTTGATTAGGCATTTATTTCAACAAGCAACTGCTATAACATTCCTGATACAAGCTAAAGGCAAGGGATATACCCAAGTGCCCACAACAGTGCACACTGCACTGGTACTGTATGTTCACCTCCCAGGTTTGTGTTTATTTGCACATCCCATGGCTCCAGAAAGAGCTACCCATAACAGCATCCTCTATTCATGCTCCCTGCACACTGTGTGGGGAGAGGCTGCTTAGCAAGACTGTTCACTGCTGCTCCCTCATGTTAGTTAAAAAAACAAAACAAAACAAAACAAAAACACTAAAACTTTTTTTTTTACCTCTCTTCCACAATAATAGAGGAGTTCAACAAATTCCTCCTTTTTCAGGTAGGGAAAAACCAGCCTCTTCCCAAGCCAGCCATATGAATATCCAGTGACATAGACCCCTCTATTTCCTTTTATTTTCAAAGAGTATTTTTCCTCAAATTGTTCCACTTTTGGGAAGTATTTTGTGAGCAAACACCATTCTCCAGGAGCTGATACATTTTCAAAAGTCAAAGACCTATTTTCAGAAGCAAAAAGGCTGAGGACCAGGCCAGCAGTTTCATGACTGAAAACAAAAACTCTTAACAAAAAAATTTCTATTAGGGAGAGGTTAAAAAAACCACCCACACCACTGTACTAAAGAGGTGTGCAAACAACATACTGATACAAAATCTCATCTTCTCGTGATTTTCCATTGCCACTGGCAATGACTGTTTTGCTGAGAAATTATGCATGTAATCCCTTAACAAGCATGTCTCCTACTGATGCAGCTAACACAACCTTGTGATCTTTGCTGCAGATAAGCTCCAAATGTGTCGTGGCACGCTTAGAAGTCAAAAACACTATTGACTCAAGAGTTTTCATACATTACCAAAACAGAGCTACTACGGACCAATGGGTTATTCTGATATTTATTATTTTTAGAGACATTTGTTTTGCCAGGTAAAATGGAAATAAAAACTTAAACAAATGAAAAAAAAGAGTAGGACAGTTCAGTCCCAGATATAGAATATTTAACAGTCACCTTTTCCCCAGAAAGAATTCAGGGAACAGTTTTGCATTAAAAGTTCCTCCTGAAAAGTAGAAAAGATTTTTGCATTTCATGGCTACTTAAAGAGCATAAGAACACAGTTTTAGTAAAATGAAGCATTCTGAATCAAGAAACAAAAAAAAAAAGCCCACAACATGTTTCTTTCACTCACAACCTTTCTCCTACATCAAATAAAGTACAGGGTGGACAAACTAAAGATTTTTTCTAGTCCATCATATGATGGCAGTGATGATCGGCCTCAACCACAGTGACACCCCTTCATGCCAATCAGCATACAAATGTAAGCAAGTGCCAAGGTCAGACCAGAGAAAGCCTTGGAGAAAGTAAGAGTTATCTCCATTGCACAAACTGCAGCCAATACATACACACAAGGGCCCACAGGCCACAATTTGCAGAATAAGCTCTGGATGCCCCATCCCTGTAAGTGTTCAAGGCCAGGCTGGATGGGGTTTTGAGCAAGCTCATCCAGTCGAAAATGTCCCTGCCTCTGGCAGGGGGCTGGAACTAGATGGTCTTTGAGGTCCCTTCCAACCCAAACCACTCTATGATTCTATGACTGCAGATGGCTGTCTCAGCTGCCCATTTCAATGTCTTCCCAATCCTTTCACTTGCTGCTGGCGAGGGAGGTACTGAATAGCAGGTGTGCTACACCAAAATAATTGGGTAGCAATGTTGGTTTTCCCCCATGCACAAGGGATTTCAGGAGCTGCTTCCCAAAGATCTGATCCAGCTCACAACATTAACCCCAAAAAGAGATGCAAACCCACAGCTGTACCCAAATAACTTCCCAAGTCCATGATGGAACCTGGATACAAAACCCTTCCAAAAGGCCAGTCTTATCCCTTAGAAAGTTTTAGTGATTTAAGTGACATACACGTTTACTCCACTTATTTTCTTAATTCGTGTAGCCTTTGTTCTGTGACACAAACCTTGAGAGAACGGAGTGAAAGATTACAGTGTTCACAGTATTTTACATCACTCCCCCTTTGTCATCTGCAGAAATGCTTCCCAGTAAAAACAGTGAGAAATAAAACCTAAAAGCATTACAGTTCCCCACAGTGACAGTTCACTAGTTGATCCTTTGTTCCTTTCTTCCTATGGAAGCCAGAAGGTTAATGGCAAAATAAGCTGTTCCCTCTGACAGAAAAAATACTTTTCTCTGTGAAAGAAATGGTCCTACCAGAGCACTCACCCACTAAGAAAACCTGATCTACAGCAAAGTAGCTCAAAGAAAAAGCCTCCTAGATTTTTAAAAAAATATATATTTAAAATGTGCATACATACATTTATATATATAAAAATAAAAGTAGGAATACTGAGCCAAAAATCTCAATCACTTGGAAGGATTAAATCTTCAAAACCTAAATAAACCAGAACACCTTCCACTAAAAACTAATTGATCCTTTTGAAAAATCCACTCCTGGTAATATCACTTGATTGGATCGTGACATAAATATCAAAGCTTGCATCTTCAGCATCTAAATATTCAAAACAATTTTTAAAAGATCTATTCAATAAAACAATCACACTCTACTGCTTTCTTCTGTGCATTTCTGATAACACCATCATAAGTTAATTGATTTTTAGTGTTCCAAAGACACTGTACCTATTTTGAATGTTTAAAATAATTTCAAATTAAGGTTTTATATAGTAAGATTTTAGTAATCTGTAATCTCTCCTCCTAAAAACACATCACAACCAGTATTCCAGTATAAGCAGATGTGAAATATACAGACTTGTGTGCATCTAACCCAAAGCAGCTGCCACGGTAACCATAAATACAGCTAAAACAGATCTTTGCAGCACATCAGCTATTTCTGGTGGCTTTTGTAGAACACAAAACATGAACATGGATATTGTAAGGAAGGATGCACGTTGTACGGAAGCCATATCTGAAGAAAAATACAAAAATTAAGAAAATATTTGAATGTCACCAGCAATGTGTTTTGACAACGAAATTTAAGTGATTCATCCATGGAAGTGTATCTGGTAAACCAAGTATGCTAACAGAGCAACACATACTAACTCCTGTAACCTCTGTCCTTCCCAGATGGAGGCTTTGACTTCCAAATCAAGTATATCAGAAATCCAAAAAATATAACTGCCACACAATTCAAGTGTAGCGTTATTATCCCAGTTTGTCACAGAAATGTCACCTTCAATAACACACTCCTAAACTTTAGAACACATACTTGGCACTATGGCACACCTAGAAACAGCCTTTTTTCTAGAATGACTCTTGCCAAACAGAAGTGGCATTTTATCAAAAGCACCGTGCACCACACAAGAGGTGTGATGACGTTGGGAGCACTTGTGTTTTAAGAGTTACCACCCAATTTCTGAGACAATTTTGAAGTCACTACAACTGCTGAGAACACCACAGCATCCCAGTCTTATGCTTCTTGCAGCTCTACCCAGGGGCCACAGAAGGATCTGGGACTGTGCCAAGTACAGAAGCTCAAGTGATAAAACCAAGAAGAGTGGTCTCTTTTGTATCTGCCACACCACCTCAAAGAAAAAAAAGTAATTTTTTTAATACCAAAAAGAGGTAATTTTTTCAGGATAGAGGAAGAGCTAAGAAATATTTTTTTAAAAAAACCCACCATCCACATTTTCAGTATGTTTTTCTTAATTAAGAGAAACCAGTTACACCATGACTTTTATTACTGAATCAACTTCGAAAAAGATTCACTGACATATTTCTAGAATTGAAGTTTTTTTCCAAATTTTACATTAAAATTCAAATATTGTTTTATCTTTAAAATGTTACAGAAAAAAAAAAGTGTGAAACACTGCATTGAATAAGGTCTGCCAACCCACAATTCACAGAAAAAGAAGTATCTAAAAACATTTTCTCTATAAATAGCCTTCATATCACAGGACATAATATCACTGGAATGTTAACTGTGTTCCAGTATTTCAAGTTTGTTACACTTACATTTAAGAAAAGGAAATTAACATGTAAAAGACAGTAATACAGTAAAAAGAGGACAAAGTTTAAGAAAATGCTTCTGGAAATCTCAGCAAGAACACCTGCTGCTTCTTGACACCTTTCCCCCTTGCTCTCCTTAAAAAGAGGCATTTAAAGTTATACAGGAGGTAACAGTTTAATCAGCCATCTACAGAAGTTAATATTGCACCAAGAGAAATGGACAGAACAATACAGGTGCCATGTCTAGCTTTTATCAACTCATTTCGACTCGCAAAAAAATATAACATTTCTCCTCTTGATTAAAAATAATATATTACACTGTAAAAACAAACTAATACAGACAAACAATTTCACAACTAAAACGAATCTAACTGAAAGTCCCAAAGCTATAATTGCAATTAATTATTCTTAGTTAATAAGGCAGATTTTACTTCAGTTACATTACTTTATAGCATTATAAATATGCTTCACTCTGTGCAGGTCTTTAAAATCAATACCTAGTGAGAATAGAGTATTGCACCAAAAGCTGAAACTGTTCCAAAGTTGTGCCACACTGTAGCTCTGTACTCATCACATGTATCTTGAAAACATTCAGACTCCAGTGCAGCCACTTGATTGCAGGCTTTGAAGAAGAGATCATATGAGGTAGAAAAAACTCCTTCAGGTTCTGCACCACCCTATGGACCACTGAGTTGTGCAAATGGCTCTGTCACAGGAAAAGGCTCCAAAGCTTTCTCCGAGTTTTTCCAGTTGTGAAAGTTTTCTTTGTACCATTCAACTAGTATGGAGAGAACGTTGATGAGTCAAGTTGACCAGAGATAACAGGGAAGTTCAAATATTCCACAGACATCATAAGACTAACAACATGCTAAAAGTTCATTATGCAAAATTTTAACCTATAATACCATAAAAATCTAGTTTAAATTTTAGAAGTTCTTCATGCAAGACTTATTCTAGCACTGAAAAGGGATTAAACTTTTTTAAAATCATGTAAATTCACTACTAAAAAGCAGACAATTCTACGTAAAATTTAAGTGTTAAATTCTATCTCTTTATCTTCTAATTAACTAACCTATATACCCATTTCCCCCCCCTTCCCCCCTCCCTCCTCCTATCAATTCTACATCAGTGTAAAAGCCATCAGTCCTACTTGTTTTCTTTATTCCTTCTTTCCAAGGCACTTTAGGGCTCCATCCTAAGTTGTGCATCTTTTCTGAATTCATTGGATATCTCAGGTCATTTGTAGGCCTGATGAAGTATAAAATGCATACAGAAAACAATTTGATCAGACTTCATTAATTAGAGATGCAGTACTTCACATTGTCTTCAAAGGAATATTAGGTATGCTTCAATTTTAAAAATTCCCATCAACATGAGCAGATTGCATTGCCTTCAAAAAATACATGGCAGCTGAGTGAAGCTACAACAATACAATTCAGTTTGTACAGTCAGTTACTTGGAATTGACTAGAATAAATATGAATTAATATTTTATTGGCAGAAAATTAATGCAAAACTCGAATCACTGCCAATGCAATTGTGCAAGTCACTGCATTTGCAACACAAAGCCAGTGTTTTCTAATATTAGCATTTACATTTTTCACCCTAAAAACTCGCAAATTTACACATACTTCAGATTTAAAACACACAGGCTTCCAAAGCATTGTCATTACAGTGCCTCAGGGTAGCTACATAAACGTGGTACTACTGAATATGTAGAATCCCAAGCTGCAAGATTCAACAGAGAAAGAGGTATCTTACACAAATTTTCACTTCCACAGTCTGGCAGATAGGTAGCCTAGTCTAGCATTCCTGCATTACTGGCACTGGCATATTGAATAGTCAAGGTACATGTGCAAACACAAACCAAGTACTTCTCACTGTTATTATAACACACTAATCTCAAGCAGAAGCAGAACTAATTTTTCCATAGCAAGTAACCCCCATGACCTTTAAGTCGCTCATACAGAATTAAATAATCATTAGTTAGGTAGCTTTTATAAGACCTCAACCTTCTTTGAAGCATGTATTCCTATGTAGTTAGTTTTCCCAAGCCCATTTATGTTTAAACATGAGGAAACAGTGCCTAATACACATGAAGAAACATCCCAGGCTGAATTACACTGAGACCTACTGAACAGTCATATCATGTGAGCCAAAGGCAATTTGTTCAAAGGTCTGTGATACTCAGACAGGATTCTGAAGAACGCTTCCTTTTCGAAACAAAAAAAGTACATTTAAAGACACTTCAGTTGTTATGATAACAATCCACATGTGAACAGAAAGTGAGAATTCTAAAGGCCATAATACTTAACTGCTATCAGTAGACACGTCATTTCTAATCACTCTGGAGAGAGTGATATCTAAAGTAAGCAGAGACTCATTGTTGCTGAAAAGAAATGGAGATAAAAGAACAGAGCGAAACCAAGCCTGAAATTAAGGACAGAAACACACAGCAAAAGCACATCTATAAAAGTTATCCATTTTCACCACCACCCTAACTTTGGCACTTTAGAGATTTACATCCACTTTTGAGATAGCAGCTTCAGCTTAAGACAGAAATCTAAAAGTAACTACACTCCATAGGCACATATTTCTGCCTTCAGAGTGGGTCTTACTATAAAATACATATAAGTCTGAATTAGTCACATTAACGTCAAAATACCAAAGCTAAGCAAGAGACAATCCATCTCACTCAGTGATGTTGAATACAAAGTACTGAATAACCTATATAAACTATCTTGATGAAAAAATTTAGCTGCTGTGCAAACCTGTCCTCTCTTCCCAGAGTGGGCTTCAGTAGTGAGAAGTATGAAGAAAGTTTGAAGACAGACAGATTAGCATTACACATTCCCCTTCAAGACATACACTCTGACCTAAAGATCCAAATAATAAATCGAAATCCTGTTTTTCTATACAATGCCCTGTATAGATCATAGATGCCAAATACACTAGAAAAAAAAAAAAAAAAATTAAGATAGCAAAACAGCTTAGTCCCTCAGAAGTGTTCCCTCCTTCAGAACAGAAACACTTCCACAAAAAACTATTTGGCAAGAGTATCAGAAACCTTCAGGACAAAGCTATCTTGCATGTCCAATATATCCTGCAAATGTTCCACACTCCTTACCTGTCTTTGACATAATCCATCCAGTGCTCCATTTCAGATTCTGAACTGGTCTTCTTTATCTGTCAAGAAGAGAAACAATTATCAACCCCATACATCTTGCACTACTGTCTAAACATACACTTAAAAAAACCACACTTAACAAGATATGTTTGTTAAGAAAAAAAAAACAAAACAAACCACAAACAGAAATGGTCTTTTGTAAACTGAGTTTTCAAACAACTGAAATTACCAAAATTGTCTAGAACAATTTCGATATTTCTCCTTCATCTGAGCACTGCCAAAACATCCATAATCAAGTTGTTAGATTTTAATGTGCTACATTTTCAGACCAAAACTAAAGTAGCTAGCATGAAAAAAATCCTACTAAATGGTATTTAATCACTATGCCAGTTATGTCCCAGTCAGGATAACTGATGCAGCAGTCCAACACAGCATAGCCTGTACTGCAAACTCACACAGTACAGCTGCCACAGAAGCGGTAGCACATCATTCTGCTACAATTACCTTCCAAGACCCATCACAAATCTGAGCTCTTTCAGAGCTACAAGAGGTTTGTAGAAGAATTGTAAATATGTGCAAAGAAAAATGGTAAAAAAAAGCATCAGAACTGTTTACTCACTAAATGGATTAGCTCCTTAGCAAGCTGGGCAATGGACATCTCAAAGTTAGTTCCAATGTTATAAATTTCACCTGGCTTCCCCTCCTTCAGGACAGTAAGGAATGCTTCTACCACATCAGTTGCATAAAGGAAATTCCTTCTTTGAAGTCCAGAACCATGAATACAGCTAGGACAAGGAAAAGACAAAAAATTTTTGTTAAACCTTAAATAGACAGGTTCAATTTTTTGGACTGTGTTTTAAGCAGTTTTACCGTTAGATGTTACCTGAAGGTACTTTCAGTAGCTGACATGTAAACTATCCTTTACTTTAAGGAAATCCTATTATTAAAATAACTAATTCATAGCTTAGTTATGAAATTATCATTTTACAAACTGTAGCACATATTTATAGTCACAATTACAGTTTTATAGTACAAATACCACAAACAAAAAACGCAAGTTACCTACCATTTTCTGTTCTGTTGCAACAGAGATATAAACTTTGGAATAACCTAAGGAAACGAACGAAAAAAAATTACTTAGCTATTTTAGAAGCTGTTAATCTGAATAAGGACTTCACCAGTCAAGTATCATTAAGCATTTTATTAAAATCCTTTAAATACTTAAGTTTTATTAAGTCTAATGAAAGAATGTATCAAGCCTAGAAACTGCAAGGCTTTTGGTCCTTAAGAGTAGATGCCTCTATTTTAGTGTAAACCTTATCTTTCTGGCAGTTACAAAATGTAACATTTTTACAAAAATAAAAAAAATTTCCATTACTTTTTGCACACAACAGTAACTAGAAATAATTACTGCCAACAATTCAGAACAAGGTTTAAATATCCAGCAAATTATAGTAAATCTATAATCAAAAAGTAAGAGTTGTTGAAATAGTTAAAATTGGAAGAGAACCAACAGAGAATTTCAAGGAAAATAAACACAGATCAAGCAACAGCCACTAGCTTGCTGCACAAAGATTTACAGCATTATGTTCAGCTACAAGTTTACATCCATTCATAATGTCCCAGAAACTTCAGAACAGTTGGTCCCATTACTAAAGTTCTTAAACTGAAGCCATAAGCAAACTACTCAAATTATTTTAATTTTGTTAACTTACTACTTTAAACATAGGAACAGACATACTAAGTAAAAGTAAAAATTCATCTAGCCTAGTGCTGTGTTCTTAGCAGTAACTGAAATTGGGTATGTGAGGAAGAATATATAGCAGTCAAAAACAAGCAAATAGTGATACATCCCCTGAATATACTTCCAACAATCATGCAACTTGTAGCCAGGCATTTCCCAAATCACAGATCATTGAAAAATGTATTCTAAAAAACATTGCTTATCCACCTGCAATAATGTAGGGGAAAATAAATTTATCTGGGGGGGAGGGAGGGAACCATTCAAGAGCCATTCAAATTAAAAAAAAATACCTCAGTAGAACTGCAAAATATAGTTATATTTCACACAAGTTCCAAACTCCAAGGAGTACACATGATTATCACTTTCATTCCATCAGTATATTTCCATGAACTAGATTTCCATAGCAGATTTTGGTATAGACTTAAAAAGGCAGCTCCTCTCACAAATAACCATTTTAAATAGTTACCCTGCAAGGTCTGTATAAACACATGCAAAGACCAGTCACTTTGCGCTACTTCTCCCCTCATATCTGTATGCTATAAGCTTCATCTTACCTATTTTCTGTACAGGTTAGAACATCACTTTCTATACCAGACATATTGTGCTCTCACAGTTTATTTTTTGAAATGTTTACCTTAGTTATTACAAACTCCCAATTACAGAACATGACATATGAGTTTATGTAATTTGTAGGGGAACCCTGCCAAGATATCCTTTGAAAAACAGAAAAATAACAAAACAAAGTCACTGTCATAAAATTCACATAAATAATGAAAAGTCTCTAATTGAAGTTTTATTGATGATCAAAAAAGATGTGCTCGTGTTAAGACATGTTAGTCTGAGTTCAAAATATACAATCACACATCAGCTGCAATAGTGCTTTTTTCAAAAGTGACCCCGTTTATATGAGAAAAAAGTAACATCTCTGCAACCCTCGATTAGGGTACACTGAAGCTCAGAGTAAAGCATAGTTTAACTTACTTTTTCTGGATACTGATGTGGTCCATAAACATTACTGCTCCGTGTGATAACAGCTGGAAACTTGAGAGCATTAAACATACATGTGATTACATAAGAAAATATATACCAGTAAAAATCTGTAAGTTTCTTGCTATTCAATAAACCACAAACTGACACAAGCACAGTGCTTATTCAAAAATCTTGTAAGCCTTTACAAACATTAATGAATTAAACTACCTGTGTTTCTCCCAAACAGGCAAGGGCCTCCAGCCTTCTCAGCCTGTTAGAAGTACCAGAGGTGACAAATGTTTGAAATCTCTGTCTTGCTCTGGAACCACCAGAGGACATTACATACATGTACTTACTCCAAGATGTCATTATCATCCTATTCATGTCCACTTTATATAAAAAATATCATGTCAAGAACAAAAGCCTAAAGCATTGAAAATTTTAAATATTTTTGCTTAAACAAATCTGACTAATAGGACTTTTTCTTCTTTCTTTTTTTGTTTTGACTATAAGCCTGGTCTTAATACAATCTGAATTTTGCATGTTCTGCTTCTGTATAATACTTTCTTATTTCCTTCAAACTTAGCAGTGGTTTTTAAATTCCTAATGTTCTCTTTCACCATTTTATCAAAGCGCATTTTTAGACATTGCAGTGCAGATTCAAAAATTTAACACAACTGACCTGTCCACACTGTCTAGCAGTGTATCTCCACTACTTATTGGTGGACATTCTCCAATGCATCCAAACTAGAGGACTAACAATAAGGAAAGAGGAGGCACTGCATGGACTAGTAGTGAGGGTTTTTTATACTCTTCTATACATAATACAGACACTTAACTATAGGCTTCAGAGTTTTTAAAGCTTCCGTCAACTTACTTGGTACCTTTCCCAGTAAGACTGAACAAAACACTCTGCAGCTGCTTTAGAGGAGGCATAGGGATTTGTTGGACGTTTTGGTGAAGATTCATCGAATTCCTAAAACAAAAAAAAAATTGCATTACTCCATTTCTTTTGGCCAGATAAGCCTTAAAATTACAAAAGAAAAATCCCTAAATATCCAAGCACATCTGTCTGACAAAGTCCACAACAAAAGACAGTCTATTTATCAAACACAGGAGGCAGCCAGGTCACCAGTAGCAGTATTTTTGTACTTCTAGCAGAGTACCTTAGATTTTTATCTTGTAAGATAGTAAATCCCTTGCTACAGGGAGGCTCAATCCTTTTCAAGTTCATATTGCCTCAGAGCGCCATCGCATCACCACCAGCAAATTGACCGAAATTAAAGGGGTCTTTTCTTAAACTTCTCTATAAATTTTATTTCTTTAAGAAATGTAGAATTGCAACACAAAAGCCTCCAAAGCAAAGCTTCGATAACTCTGACCACTTCCAAAAACAGGTAGTTTCCAGGTTATCTTGCCACTTCAGTCTACATCTCACCTGGAAGAAAAAAAACCAAACCAACCCAAACCAAAAGAAGGAGGGATACTACACAAAGTGTGATTTTTAACAATGACCTTAACATGATTAAAAGACTTACTGTTCTTGTCTGACCTTTGCCTCTGAAATTAATTGGACTTCCTCCCTTCAAAAAAACTCTACAAGAATTTCTAGTGTGATTCACAAAGATTAAAGTGCTCTTTTCAAATGCCTAGAGGCAGAAAAGGTTCACTTGAAGGTATCAGTCAAACCACTGGTCTACACACAAGAAAACATTATCCTCAGGTATCATTAAAGTCTACTGACGGAAGTTGTGTTGAAGGAACTGATAAAAGACACTGCGACAATAAGAAAGTGCACGGGATTTTCTGAAGTACATTAATATTTTCATGGATTATAGCACAAGGCTCCTTGACTGTTATTTATGCCCTCAAAAAGATGAACATGCATATTTTGCCTTTTTACTGAGCTAAATCACATTTCCTGAATTAAGGTCAGGCATAAATTGTCAGAAATCAAAGATTTTCATAGAACAACAATAAACACCTGAATATTTATTACGGTAATACAGGAATTGTTTCCTGTTTGAATTGTCACTACCTACAGTTCTGTTAGCATTTTAGCTAGAGAATAAAAGCAGTTCCCCACCTGTCAAACTGTGCCCATTACTGAAATCTCACTAATGCTCCAAGACAAAAACTACATAATACACTCTCTGATACTATTTCTGAGCAGTATTCAGGTCATTAATGACCCCAACCTCACTGCTTTAGGTAATACATATTCAATATAAAACACAATATTAAAAAAAAAAAAATCAGGACAATTTTGACACTCAGCTTTCTAGAAGCAACCAGTGTTTATTTACATGTCCCAGTACTGTCAGAAACAGCTTGAAAGTCACACATTTACAAAAGCCAAGGAAAGTTAGGCTCAGTTTGTTTTCACTATTAAAAGCAAGTAAAGCTAGGAAAACCCTCATGTACTTTCAAACTTACCCCATCAGTGCTACCTCCATATACTTCATCTGTACTAACATAGACAAACTTCTCCACATTGGCTTCATGTGCAGCAGCAACCAGCACATTAGTGCCATAAACATTCACGTAGGTGAATTCCAGGGCATGCCAAAATGAAAGATCTACATAAAAAAATTCAAACAATTCTGATTAAATTTAGGCAACACAGAGCTATTGGTTCCTATTGAATAATACTAGAGGTTGAAATATAGACTTGTCAGATAACAAGGTCATTATTAAATAAAGGGACTTTCTACACTTACTTGAAGACAAAAATCCTTGCTTTCAACAAGAGCTTGGAATCCGGAGCAAAAGCTTGTTGGCTATGGACTTTTTAACCTAAAATAGCATTATCTAACTTTATTTAAGCATAACTACTTCCCTTTTCACTAGGAAAGGTTAAGCCCAGTAAGAAAAGTGTCAAAGACAGTTGTAAGATGCAGTAACACATATCTATTACTGTAATTAACCAGCACCTGCTCTAATTCTAATTGTCCAACTGACCTAATGACTTTGTGCATATCTGACAATTTCAAGAAGTATTTTCCTGGGGAATTCTTTGAGGATTTCTTCTCACAATGAAAGGAGTATGGCAGGGATTGTTCTTAATAACAGTGATAATGAAGAGTAGCAATCCGAAATAGGCACTTTTAAGTACAATTCATTCTCTCTAGAACTGAGGCAGCATTCTGACGGGACTTAATCCTTCAGCTTCTACACCGTGTTTTCTCATGTGAGGTTGGAGCCAATCAAGTAAAAACTTAAGACTCTGCACAAACTCTCTCTCCATTGTCTTTATGACTCCATCAGTACACTGTCAGTTACATGTGAGTCTAGATGGAATTTAATGCAAGTAAAAAGGGGGAGGAGGGCATTACCATTTATGTGCAATCAAAACAGACAATAGTCAGATGAAGCACTTTTGAAATCAAGGCTATGACCTCCTTTAAGTTAAAAAGGCTACCAGACAGTGAAGCACATCGTTTGCAGATACAAACTGGATCCTTAGTTTATATGAAGTGAAAAGACAAAAAATATCAGTATACATTTCAAGCAGGTATAGCCATGGAAAACAATATGAAAACATGCAGTGATGCTCACCTACATGTGTTTGGGCTGCAAAATGAAGGACTATATCTATTTTCTCAGTTTCAAAGAGGTGTTTTATAAAATCAGGTACACAAATATCCCCCTAAAAAAAATTAGAAAATCATTTTTGATAGAAAATAGTCTCATGCCAATTGTCATATAACAAATCATTACAAAGTGAGTACAGGATATAAACACCATCACCAACTGAGTTTTGGGCAATTTATCAATTCCATGTCTAAAAATAAGACCAGATAATAAATTTCACCCATCCTCAAATTACTATTAACATGAAAAACAGCAACGTTCCCCAAAATACACACAACAGAAACATATCGTGGAACTTCAACGCTGAGTTTGAAATGCCAAGTTCAGAAAGCAACAGTTACCGGAGTCTGGCTAAGCAGACAGTGACATCCAGTGGTGAAGCTGATTTCCACTTCTGTCAAAATAGATGGCTACACGTCTTGTAAGGATTTTGCTTTTTGTTGTTTGTTACAGTAATTTATTTTTTTAATTGATATATTTACCAAAAAAGAGACAGGCATCGACAAAAAAACCCATTCTTTAATTTCACATCAGAACTAGCACTTTCTAAAGGTAAATGCAAGCTGAGAAAAACCTTTTGATATTTACCTGTTGGCTCAACTTAAACAAGACAGTACCTGAGAAGAGGTGTCTCGTGGAAGACTTTTGTATTTTCAAAAACAAGGCAGGTAACTAAAAATAGTTCAAATGTATCTATGTTTCAAGAAGTTCTCAAGTAACAATTCTGAATAACAGCCTCAAAAAAGTATTTTATGTCAGAAATGGGAGGAAGGTGAACTGATTTCCCTACTTCTCATCCCTGAATAAAAGTGAAACACTCCAGTAAATACACTTCAGTCTCATACCTTATTTTGAACTAAATGGTTACAATTACTGATTTTTTTTAAACTGAAATTCAAGCTTAGTACATCCGTGATGAGCAACAACAGAAACTGTGATAAAAATTTATCTTTTACAAAGCCCCTGATGCAAATTTGCTAAACTTTTACTTCTCTACTTTCCAAAACAGGCTTCCTTTTCAAGTACCACTACAGTGTCTATCCTTCTTGCTGTCTCCTAAGGTCAGCAACAGTGTTACATTTCTAATCAAAGGGGTTACACATCAGAGATTATTTTTTCCAGGGCACTTTTTCCTGTCTTTGTAAACAGCGTGGTTGCATATCAGCTACATGTTAAGCTGTGACAAACTGTCTCTAAAAAACAAACAAACAAAAACAAACAACAACAACAACAAAAAACATACAAGCACCAAAACACAAAAAAAAACAAAACAAAAAACAAAAAAAAAAAAAAAAAAAAAAAAAAAAAAAAAAAAAAAACACTGAAAAGCTGGAATTATTTATACTGGTCTAAGTTTTGTGACAAGACATTCCTACTCTAGTTGAAAAGCAGTATAACCAGATCATTTCTTGTTACTGTTCCCCTGCTTCACACAGGGACCTGATTGTTCAGTGGCTGTCTTCTAGAATTCCATGCTCTCCTCAGCATTTAAATGTTAATATCTATTCAGTTAACAAGGCTTTTATATGGCACTCGTATATTTCATATCATAGAGTGGAAACAGTCAAAGACCTTTGGAAAAATAATCAAAAAGCCAGTCTGGCTGAAACTGCATATATGTGCACATCTGCATACAGACAGTTCCTTTCCTGTCACACAATTTTTATACCAATAGCCCAGAAATAATCCCTTATCTGAAACAAAGGGGTTAGGTTCACAAAAACATAAACAGTCTTGGGGATCACCAAACAGGTGAGGGCAAACTCAATTCCCAACTTCACCTGAATCTAAGAAAAAAATATAAGCTCACATCTACTACCTCTGACAATGTTGCTATTTCAGAAAACTAAACTATATGCCCTTCTCAGATGTCCTGCAGCCTTAGGCAGCCCCCAAGACAGAGAGACCAGCATCAGCACTGACTTTGGTAGAGAGGAAGAACCTCAGCATACAAGCCCAACAGTCAGAATACTGATCTGAACAATAAATCAGAATCAATCTCCTATTTGAAGACAAACTGTGGAAGCAGTAAACAAATTTAATTGGCAAAACTTCAAAAAGAAAAGGTATACCCTGAATGTTACCATGAAACCCCATTCCCGAATGACTGTGAACTGTATGAGCATCAACAGCAGCACAAGCAAGAACGTAGCCTGATGTCCAGTACGAACACAACAGTGTGCTGCACACCATGGAATATGACAAGCAGGGGATTTTAAAGGTTCAAAGTCTAAGAGAGCATCAGAGAAGCACAGAAGAGCTGCATCTAAGTCCATCTTGACCACACACATATTAAAAGTGAAACAATCATCCCTAAAACCACTCATCTCAAAATTACACTTTTACCAATTCTACACCTTTATGATACAATCAAATATATCAACTCTTCAAAGACTATTTCATGTAAAAGACAGAATATACCGCATATGGTCAGAGGGTGAAATACAAAGGCCATTAATATGGCAACAGATGAAGTAAATGCTGTTATGTCCATTTGACTGTCACATACACTGGTATATTACCTACGCTGACTCATTTCTGACAACGAAGAAGTAGAAATAATTTCAACTTTATCATAAATGAAAGCAGTGGTTTCCACTTTGGGGACCTCTAGAGACCACATTACCTGGGATACAAAGGGATAAAAATCAGTAAAAAGTCAAGTTTCTAGAACAGAAGGTTTTATCACCTGGATAAACTTGTAGTTTTCCTTCCCAGAGACAGTTTCAAGATTCTTCAAGCTTGCACAGTAGTCGAGCTAAAGAGAAATAACCACACAACATCAATAAGTGGGCTTCATGGAAGCAAATAAGTTAGCCTAATCAGTAGAAAGTCTGAGAATAAAGTAAAAACTTATTTCAAAAGAAAACCTATTTCATAAGCAGATGTGATTAAGCTTTAAAAACACAACTTCAAAAGATACCTTAAATGTAAAAATTCTTAAACGCAAGTTTAAAGCTTGAAAAGCTTCCCTCTTTCTTTTTTTTAAATCAAATAATTATTTGTGGTGGGAACACAAACAGCAGTTGATTCTTTTTGTTTGCATAGAAACAAATGGAATATCAAACAAAAATTAGTAACTAACAATAGACCATATAAATTTTAACATGTTATAGACTGCATCAAAAACCATTTAAAACAGTTTTCCATATCAAGAAAGAAAACAAGCTATTACCTTATCTAAATTTATAATCAGATAATTTGGATAGTTTTTCACGAGAGAGACCACTACATGTGAAGCACTGCAGAGTAGAAGAAAAACATATTTTACAATTATACACTTAGCTTTAAGGTAACAAAGAGATGACAAATTACAAATAAGTTCAGCAATATCAAAAGTCCTCAGGGGAAGAAGGGGTTATACTCAAGAGAGGTGAAAGAGGAATTCAGAGATATATGTCAACATTATTCTAACATACTCTATACATTATTCTAATATACTGTATACATAACTGCATACAGTTAAGAAATTAAAAATCGGAATAAAATTTCATGCTATAATGAAAGAAATCAGCATTCCCCACAGTCACATTAAAAAAAAAAAACCAACAAACTGTTAAGTGCTATATTCAATTGCCATTCTAAAATACTTTTACACTCTTTATACATTAGGCATCAGGGAGAACCAAACAGTCAACTCTCCTAACCCATAATACTGACTCCCATCACTCAGCTCTCCGACACTGCTGTCAAGAAGTGACAACCAGACAATCGGGTGGCATTTCCTCCTTGGCACAGTCTTGTGTACAAGAAGCTCACCCCAAGGGCTCAGTTTTAGTGGGTGTTATTCATACACAGAAATCTAATCCTCTCATAGCTTCTGACTCAGAGCTCACTGATGGGCTCAAGCTTAAGACAGACCAGACCTTTCTCTGACTCCAGTAGAGCCAACAACACCAGGGGGCTGACAAGGGAAATAGCAGGTGGTTCAAAGCACTTCGACCCCCAACCCACAAAATCACACAAAATCTTTCAGGTTGGAAAAGACCTCTGAGATCATCGAGTCCAACCTATGACCGATCACCACCTTGTCAACTACACTATGGCACTGAGTGCCACATCCAGTCACTTCTTGAACACCTCCAAGGACAGTGGCTCCATCACCTCCC